TTCACTTCAGAACATTCATTCACGGATTTGCGCTGCGCAGCGTCTTCACACAGACGAAACTTACTAGAGAAGTGTGAAGGACTGGAATTAGAAACCACTGATGTGGCCTATTGTAGTAATGTTGTCTCTGGTCTGTGAGCGTATGTGCGTTCAGGGGGCGTGGCTTTGGACGGCGATTGCAGGGAGGGTGGGACGTTCGCTTTCAGTGCTATCAGGCTAAAGTTAGCATTTTCCAAGATCTCCTACTGCACCTTTAACTTGTACTCAATCTGGAAGATTTCTGAAATATCAGATCCTAATGGTCCATTCAGACTCACTTTCATTCTGTGTCTGTGTTCCTCTCGCAGCTTCTCCTGCCGGCCGAGACTCTCCTGTGTCCTTTAAACACAAAACACTGCTTAAACAACGAATTCAGCACATCATCTCAACTTGTAAATGAGAATGAACAGTTCAGAAATCCCATACTCTTTCTCCAACATGTCTCTCATACTCTGGTACTCCTGTCTCTGTTTGAGCTCCATTAACTCCTCGTAGCGTTTGAGCTGCTCAGCCTCACAGTTGGCAGCTGTGGCCACCAGCCGCTCCTGCTGCTCCTGTCTGAGACTCAGCTCCGCCTGTGAGAGAAAACACACGTGCATTACATGCATCAATGAAAGAAGTCTCTTCTGTTCACCAAGGCTGCATTTAATTGATCAAAAATACAGTAAAAACTGTAAAATATTTTTACAATTTAAACTAACGGTTTTATATTGGGATATATTGTACAATGTAATTTATTTCTGTGATGCAAAGCTGCATTTTCAGCATCATTACTCCAGTCTTCAGTGTCACATGATCCGAAATCAGAATCATTCTGAACTCGAGAAACATTTCTGATTATTATCAATGTTGAAAACAGTTGTGCTGCTTCATATTTTTGTGGAAACCGTGATACATTTTATTTTTCAGGATTCTTTGATGAATAGAAAGTTCAAAAGAACAGAATTTGTTTGAAATAAAAATCTTTTGAAACATTATAAACGTCTTTACTATCACTTTTGATCAATGTAATGCATCTTTGCTGAATAAAAGTATTCTTTCAAAAACAAAATTAATGTGCAAAAACATTTTCATCCTATAGTTCCAGATGTGGTACCTTAGCTTTGGCCTTGTGTTTCTGCTCACACATGCGTATGCAGCCGGCCATCTGTGTGGCTCTGGGCGACAGGACGGAAATCGCTGGAGGTGAGCTTGCTACAGGACTCACAACAGAATCCTCCTTTATTTCTTCTGCTTTCTGAGATCAAAAATGAATGAAAACAGGAAAAATCAGCATTGCACTCCTATGCATTGCCAACACAAACTCAAGCAAGAAATTGAACAACGGATATGTATTAGAGCTTTGATATAAACTATTAAAGTCGAGCATCTTTGCTGAATAAAAGTATTCTTTCAAAAACAAAATTAATGTGCAAAAACATTTTCATCCTATAGTTCCAGATGTGGTACCTTAGCTTTGGCCTTGTGTTTCTGCTCACACATGCGTATGCAGCCGGCCATCTGTGTGGCTCTGGGCGACAGGACGGAAATCGCTGGAGGTGAGCTTGCTACAGGACTCACAACAGAATCCTCCTTTATTTCTTCTGCTTTCTGAGATCAAAAATGAATGAAAACAGGAAAAATAAGCATTGCACTCCTATGCCAACACAAACTCAAGCAAGAAACTGAACAATGGATATGTATTAGAGCTTTGATATAAACTATTAAAGTCGAGATGAAAGGGAAGTAGCGACAGATCCTTTCTTCTGTATTGTGAAGTACATCAGAGTATATCAGCTTATCGAAAAGAAAAAAAAAAAAGTAAAGTGGGGTCTTGGTTTTATGCATCCAAGCTGTTTATTGGATGTTGGATGACCAAATCTGTTAATCAAACAAGCATGTGACTAATTATTACAATTCAACTTAAACCACAAATTATCTTGCAGTTCCCAATAAAGTTGTCCAAAGCTGTTATGTAAGAGCTCAATGAAATCTACACACTTACATCTCTGTTCAAGCTCATACTTTCGTGAGCAACACTCAAGTTACTGTCTCTTCAGAATGAATAAGTGTCTGCCTAATGAATGAATGTTAATGCACAAAATCAAGCTTAAAAAGCGAGGACATCACCTGCTCATCCTCCTCAGCGTGAATGGAGACCGGAGGTGGAGAGGTGGGAGATGAAATCTGTCTGGGACTGATGGGAACTGAAGCTCCAGCAGCAAGATCTTCTGAAATCTCGGGACTCGTATCACGAACACATGAGGACAGAGAGCGGGTCTTGAGCAGTGGACGAGGACTCAGTCTCTTCAGAATCTGTCCTGAGAGAGGAGACAGACTGGACACCTCGATACAGCCCGCCAGAATATCCTGCAAAACAGATCAGGGTTAGAAGAAGAAATAAGGATTGCAGGACAAAACGGTGAATCGATTCAATCATTTATTCAGTATTTGATTCCTTTATAAAATATTCCATAACTACTTAAAGTTTTAGTTTAAACGAACACTTTGAATTTTGGTTTTAGTTGAATAAGAGCTAAAATGTCCAACAAATGTCACCAAGAAGAATGAAGTACATTTACTGACATTTGTCTTGTTTACGAATAATGTTTTTAATCCTATGTTTTAAATACCTATTTGAAAAGTGCTCTATAAATTGAGTTTTATTCATTATATCAACATAATTATTATTATATAATGTATTTATGGCTCTAGCAGAGTAAGACCTATAACTAGGTAAGTTACTGTGGCTGTACCATGGTACAGTGATCGTATCACAATAATACCATGCTATTCTGATATAAACATGTAACGTTAGCCTAGTTATATTCTTATACCTTGGTATTATAATATCAGAATAACATGGAATACGTGTGAAAAAGCAGCACGGTACGTTTAATTAGTAATAAAGGTGATTAAAACTCCGTAATGATAAAACATGAACTAAATAAGGCGTTAATATTTCTCAGTTTGTCAGCATGTTTACCTCCCCGTTTTCCAGCCAGTCTGGACTGTATTTGAGTTTCCCCTTCGGAGAGTTTTTCAGGGCTTCTAATGTTTCCCATCGTAGACTTTCAGAGGGCATTTTGGAGGCATTAAAGTGTTTTTACCTCACACCGATTTACGTTAAACTAACTACTAGACACCGCTGTAGCCTAAACAAGCCGCCGGTGCTCACTTCCGCTTCCGCCTGACTACAAAATAAAAGTCTGGATGACGCGAATCGATAATTCTTACACACTACATATTAAGCATATTAACATATATAACGCAAACGCGTAAATAGAACGTGGACAGGATTAAATTCTAATTTAACAAATATTAAATTTATGTTAAATTTATATTCAAAAAGTAATTTATTTGACATTGTCAGTAGATGGCAGTGGAGAACTAAAACATTGATCATTCGCGACGCGCTGGAAATCAGCAGAGAAGAGCGCGCGCAGTATGGCAGGGTCACACTCAAACTGGAGGGTCAGTCTGATTATTTTATCTCTGTATTTTTCATTAAGTAACTCGTTTTGCGGTTGCATTGTAAATATAGGGTAATATCACATTTTTAAAAGTGTACTTGCATAGTGAAGTTAACCTAGCACTGTCAGTGTACTCAGGATTTCATGTTCAACTGAATCGAACACTAACAAAAATGCTATGGTATTACCATGTTTTTGCCGAATTACTTTGGTAAAACCTTGGTATTCTTCATAAATATTGTACACTTACAAAAAAAAAAAGTACTGTGGCAATACCATGGTACAGTGATTTGTAAGTGTAATCTTTCAGTACTACAGTATGCATTAAAATATATCATCCAAGATGAATATGAGTTTGTTTCTTCATCAGATTTGGAGAAATGCAGCATTGCATCAGTGTCTCAGTAATGGATGCTCTGCAGTGAATGGGTGCCGTCAGAATGAGAGTCCAAACAGCTGATAAAAACAACACAATAATCCACAAGTAATCCACACCACTCCAGTCCATCAGTTCACATCTGGAGAAGCCAAAAGCTCTGTGTTTGTAAGAAACAACTTCAAACTGTGGCTTCTGGCTGAAATATGAGTCCATAATAACACTTCCTGCAGTGAAAAAAAATTTACATCAGAAAAGATTACTTTTTCACTGGATGAAGCGTTATTATGGATTATGGACTCATAATTTAGCCAGAAGCAACTGGTTGAAGTTAAAAAACGTCTTTACTTCTCACAAATACACAGCTTCTCACTTCACAAGACGTTAACTGCTGGACTGGAGTGGTGTGGATTACTGTGATGTTTTTATCAGCTGTTTGGACTCTCATTCTGACGGCACCCATTCACTGCAGAGCATCCACCGGTGAGCAAGCGATGCTACATTTCTCCAAATCTGATGAAGAAACAAACTCATCTACATCTTGCATGGCCTGAACGTGAGTCATTTTAGTTTTTGGATGAACTGTTCCTTTAAAGAATATATTTTTCTTTTTGCCCACAGCCACCACGTTCATGTGACGTCTACTGGTGTGAATTCAAGCACTGCAAGAGTTTACTTAACAGATTCCATGAATACTACACCTACGGCAGAGCACCGGACTGCCAGCAGTGGAAAGAAGACTATTACACCTGCAAAGAGTGGGAGATAAACCACAGCACACAGGCCAAGGTGAGTCTAGACCGATGTAGGACCGTGTGTCGCTTTCAGGTTTCGGTCCGGGCCACATTGCTGTTTATTCTGGCCACTAATCACTTAGTTTTCCTTCTACTCATCTATCATCTCATATGCACCATTAGGAATCCCTCCAGGAGAGCGAGAGGAAGCGAGTCGCTGCGCAGGGGAAGTTCACTCCGGTCTGGGAGCTTCGACAGACGCCTCCGGCTGATTGGCACCTGCCGCTCAACCAGGGCAAGCCACAGGACTCATAAAGTCGTAAAGGACTATTTATTGAGTTGCATGAACTTCTGCTGGGAACCTCCTCACACTACCTCTCCTGGACTGATGCACTTCTGTTCTGTTGTAGATCTGATTTTCCTGGTGCTCAATGCAAAGCAGCCTAAAAAAGTCTCGATCAACCTGTATATGGAATTAATAAAGCGAACGTTGAAGTATAAGCATTTGATGACCCTAGTGAAAAATAAATATACTAAAATGTATTTGAGATGCATTTATTTCATGCTAAGTATACTACAAATACATTAACATGTTTATGTGCTTAATAAAAATACAGTGCAATTGTACTTTTAGTGTACTAAACTGGTATACTTAAAGTGCTAAATTAGAGCTAATGTTGTGCTTAATGCACTTTAATTGTAGTGCTGAAGTCCAACTAAAGATATACTGAAGTATATTTCATTGTGTTAAAGTGGAACTATTGCAAGTATACTTCAGGTACATTTTAAATATCTTGCATTTAAAGACCGATATTATTCAAAGACCATGCAATCATCAATAGACACACACACACACATTAAAACACATTTTAGGTTTAATATTAATGGACATTGTGCACAAGTAGCACTCCGAATAAAGTTGAATTATAATTTTTAAAGTCTCGAGCGCTATGTCAGTAAATATGTTAATAGATTTTAACTATACTTGGTGTGAAATAAATGTATTTTAAATATATTTTTTACTAGGGGAGAAAGTCAGTATAGCACAAAAAAGTAATATTATTCTACTTCTGTTTATTTTCCATTTAAAATATTGCAAAGCCTCTTCTGCTCACCAAGCCTGCATTTATTTGATCCAAAGTACAGCAAAAACAGTAAAAATTTTAAATATTTTTACTATTTAAAATAACTTATCTATTTGAATATATTTTAAAATGTCATTTATTCCTGTGATTTCAAAGCTAAATTTTTAACATCATTACTGCAGTCAAATGATCCTTCAGAAATCATTCTAATATTCTGGTTTGCTGCTCAAAAACATTCATTATTATGATGTTGAAAACAGCGGAGTAGATTTTTTTTCAGGTTTCTTTGATGAATAGAAAGTTCAGAAGAGCAGCATTTATCTGAAATTGAAATCCTTTGTAACATTATAAATGTCTTTATCATCACTTTTGATCAATTTAAAGCATATTTGCTAAATAAAAGTATTAATTTCTATAATTTCACATCTGTTGTTAATCAAAAGGTATTTCAATTCTGTACACGTGTTAACGAATGAAAACAATGCAATGATAAATGTTTTTGTGGATGTTTGTACAAGAGTTTGGCCTTTATTGTTTCACTGGAGACCTTATTTATTATGCTACAGAAATCAGAAAAGATAGTAAATGGGTAATTGTGAATTTATTTGTAATTATCTGAATTCCTCCCACTGTGACATTGACCAACTAAGTCATTGAAATCACTGGCCTGAAGCTAGAAACCATAATAACGGTATGCTAACACTTTATTTTAAGGTGTCCTTGTTAGACATGTTACATGTACTTACTATTATAATAACAATTATGCATAATTACATGCAAGTAACCCTAACCATATAGTAAGTACATGTAGTTAATTAATATTACTCAGTACTTAAATGTATAACTGTAACAAGGACACCATCAAATAAAGTGTAACCGAAGGTATAAATAAGGAAACAAATGATTTGAAGACCACATCAAGAATTGCAAAACATTTATTATTTTTTGTATTCCAGATACACAACCTGTGTTGTAACGGGTGTTGACAAATATTCATTCGCAACATGATTTAATGATGACTAACACACGAAGATCAATGATTCACTTAAATGTATAACTGTAACAAGGACAACATCAAATAAAGTGTAACCGAAGGTATAAATAAGGAAACAAATGATTTGAAGACCACATCAAGAATTGCAAAACATTTATTATTTTTTGTATTCCAGATACACAACCTGTGCTGTAACGGGTGTTGACAAATATTCATTCGCAACATGATTTAATGATGACTAACACACGAAGAACAATGATTCACAACATGGTAATAAAGTTAATTTGGTTCGTTCTTCTCTCAGTCCATTTCTCTGATGTTTCTGCTCTTCATCAGACCAGAAAACACTCGTTTCAAGCTCAAGCTCACCTCACTGTGTGTAAACTCGTGTAATGTCGTTGTATTTGCCCTCTGGAGCCTCATAGTTTGTAACGGGGGGTGTGTAACTGGGCCCCTCGTGCTGGAAAGGGAATATGTCCGTGTCTGGACTGACCGCTGCTTTATAAAGCTCTTCTGACTCCAGCTTCAGCTCGTCCAGTGCTTGTCTCTGGGCCTCCAGAGCCTCATTGATGGTGTCCATCTCCGTCTGGTGCTGGCTGTACTTGTATCTGGACCATTCCTTCAGCAGAAGGGCTCTGCGCTCGCTCTCCTCAAAAGAGTGTTTAGGAGCGTCACGGATCCTGGAGCACACATTAGATTTAATTTAATTCAAATGGCCTAATCACAATAATAAGAGGTTCCACATAGGCTTGTATAGACGTTGATAGACGGTGCTGATACCGTTGTTAAGCCGCAACACCGGTTATGTCACTTACTCCGAATTGCCGCTATTTGAAAGTGAAAGTAAAATGCGCACACCGCTTTTACAAGCTATTTAAAAGTGAAGGAAAGCGAGGAAAAGAGGGAACGCCCCCGCGGTGATACCAGTATTATCGGTGTTGTCACACGTCGATTAACCGGTGGGAAAATTTCCTCACCGTCACAACCCTAGTTCCACACTTATTTATTTTTTCCCCCTTCTTTGTACCATGTAAGACATTTTCTTAAAATCTATTTTTTTTGTGTCTACACTACTAGGCAAAAGTTTAGAATAATTAAGATGTGTTGGAAAGAAGTTTCTTCTGCTCACCAAGGCTGCATTTATTTGCACAAAAATACCGTAAAAGCAGTAATATTGTGAAATATTTTTAGAATTTAAAATCTACATGAATATCTGTTAAAATGTAATTTATTTCTGTGATCAAAGCTGTATTTTCAGCATCATTACTCCAGTCTTCAGTGTCACATGATCTTCAGAAATCATTCTAATATACTGATTTGCTGCTTAATTATTATTGGTGCTCAGTTATTAGTAATGGTAGTAGCAATTCTTATTATTAATGTTGATAACAGTTTTTACTGCATAATATTTTTTCAGCATACTTTTATGCTTTTTTTCTAAATTATTTGAATCGGTAAATATAGTTTTGTCACGACAGGAATAAACTACATTTTAACATTAAAATTTACAACAGTTATTTTATAGCGTAAAACATTGTGTTTTTTAACATTGATAATAATCAGAAATGTTTCTCGAGCAGCAAATCAGCATATTAGAATGATTTCTGAAGATCACGTGACACTGAAGACTGAAAATTCAGCTTTGATCACAGCAATCAATCACAGATATTCACATAGTTATAATAATAATATTGCTGTTTACTGCTTTTTTGATCAAATAAATGCAGTCTTGGTGAGCAGAACAGACTTCTTTACAAATATTTTAAAATATTCCAAATAAAAATAAGATTCCAATACGTCCATAGATTTTACTACTACTCTAAAATGTATAAAACAGTAAAGAATAAAGCAGGTGTGTCCAGACTTTTGACTGGTGGTGTAGTTATGGATGTGTTATTTTTCACCTGGTCTCATCAAGGCACTTGGCTGGGGTAATAAAGTCTTCAATAGGAATCAGTTCTGGAGCAACTTTCTCCAGCCTTTTGAGCTTCTTCTTCAGACGTTCCTTCATCATTATCTCTCGGCGAGGGTCCACCTTCTTCTTCTTCTTGGGTTCTGCTCTGTGGAGTATAAGAAACGTTTTTTATGCATTTATTACAGTGAAACACCCTTACAAAAATATATTACAATATTCAAAAAACTCTCTCTCTCGCTATAGAGTTATATATATATATATATACATACAGTGTTGGGGAAAGTTACTTTTAAAAGTAATGCATTACAATATTGCGTTACTCCATAAAAAAGTAACTAATTACGTTACTTAGTTACTTTTTATGGAAAGTAATGCGTTACGTTACATTTGCGTTACTTTTTAAATCTGGACAGGGCTTGCTTGTTTGATTTAAAAAAAAAAAAGTTCTATTTTTGGCAAATATAAAAGCTTTTCACCACCAAAAGTGAAACGAATAAGCCTCAGGCTGAAGGGAAAGTAAATGTACGTCCGTACAGTAGAATGCAGAAAAAAAGTAATGCGTTACTTTACTAGTTACTTGAAAAAAGTAATCTGGTTACGTAACTTGCGTTACTTGTAATATATTACCCCCAACACTGTATGTGTGTATATATATATATATAAACAAAAAATACATATATCCTGCAAAACATGTTATGGTAAAATACTACGGTGATTTACGTAAGGGAATAGTTTGTTTCTGCACTGACCTCAGTGGAGAAGAGGTTTTCAGGGAAAGCATTGATGTGAACCAGTGACTGTGTCTGACAGCAACCACAGAGCTGCTACTGTAAAAGAGTTATTAATTATCAGCATAATCATAATCATAATGACCTCTATGAGAGGTATACTGATATTATCATGCAAAGCCGAATACGTACCATGATACTTGACTCGATATAATTCGGCTTGCTGTACGGCACACAATCCCCGCCATAATTTACAGAAATATCGACTTTATACGCGTCAATGTTGAAGAATTAAAACTGTTTTACACCTTCCGGCGGACCAATGTGGATCTGTAGGTCAGGGTAAAAAACACGTCCGCTATAACAGACGCACTTTCCGCATTCATGTATTTTCATCTTCGATCGATATCAAGTATAGATACATATCATAATTATTACATAGATATTTTAAAGTGTACGTGAAAAGCTAGAGATTATTTTACATAATGTAATATTTGAGAGGTTTGTCGAATGTTGTGAAGTGAATGTTGAGGGTAAGTGGGTGAAAGGGCAGCAGCTCGGTGTGTTTCTGTCCGCAGTGACTCTCGAACGGTCACAAACACAATCATGTCTCTCCTGAGAGGTAAGTTAACTAACTTTATATATTTTTTAACTTTGAAATAATGCATTGTATTGAACCTGTCGAATGATTTGTTTGTTTAATCTGGTTTTGCGCTTGTTTTTTTTGCACTGCACTTGAACGTCACGTTTCATATTTGAATTTATTTATTCGTTTTTTCCCCTTAAGTTACCGTTAAA